CTAGTTCGAATTTCAATGATGCCCTTGGACATAGATGCTCACAGAGGTGATTAGTTTTAGGACTAAAAACAAGACTTTCCTGTTAAAATTAAACTTGTACAGTAACATGCTCAGGAATAAATCAGTCTGCAAACCAGTTCAAGATGTACAATCAAATGTATTCTGCTAAAAATTGTCTGTGCTTGTTAAAAACTACAATACTGTGGATATCATTGTACATCTCCAATAGCAGACATATACAAGTCTTCAGTAGACAGCCTATTTTTACCTCCATTTCTCTCACTGCACATTATGAACATTCTTTGATTGCTGAATATTTTTGGCATTTTAAGTAAAAATAACTATTTTGGGTTTAATGGTTTTACTTGTTTCATTGAAGCCTCCAATCAACTTAATGTTTACCAGCACACTTCTATATCTTGAATAAAAATGCATGTTTCTTGTCTTTTATTAGATGCATCAGCGTTGTCATGGACTGAAGACCCTAGAAATACAGTAGCAGTACACAATACAGCTGTTACACTGAGATGTGCATTTGATGGTCCACAGCCTAATACACATCCACAGTGGAGGCAAATAAATGACCCAACAACCCCGTGGGTTGTATCACGTGGTGCTAATATTAACACTGATGAATGTAGTACTTGCAGTCTAAGTGGTAACCATGGTAATGGTGAATTCTATCTGACAATAAACCCTGTGAATGTGAACACAGATGAAGGATTGTGGGAATGTGCAGCATTCGGTGTGGATCCTAGTTTCAAGTCAGCTACATTGACTGTATTAGGTATGATATATTATTTTTCATTTTATTTACAAATTTAGTAAAAGGAAATCCCTACCTATTGTAGCAATTGTATCTGATCTCCGTTTTGTTCAAAAACAGGAACTATTATTTGGGTTTTATTTATCCTGCCAACTATTCATGCAATAAGTTTAATGCCTGCAAAACCATACAAGAGTATTTATTAATATTTTGAGCAATATCATACTGTTGGTAAAACTTTTGTTAGCTCTGCTGTTGACTTTGTCAAGAGAAAAACTTAAGAGTGATGCGATTGTCCGGCGTCGCCGTCCACATCAACTTTGTACTGTTTCGACTTCTTCTTGAACTCCCTTGTAGTAGAGGTAAACCTCACCTAGATTTGTTCATTTCATGATGACCCCTCTCAGAGTTGTTCAATTATTTAATTGAAATTTGCATTGCTAACAGCAGAGCTATCTGAGCTGAAAGTCTGCCTGTTTACTCTTAGAGATATCTTCATTGTAAAGCACCTCTAATTTTTCTTGTATGGTACATTGTAATTA